TAAAAAAAAAAAAAAAAAACAGGCCAAGCGCGGTGGCTCACGCCTGTAATCTCAGCACTTTGAGAGGCCAAGGCGGACGGATCACGAGGTCATGAGATCGAGACCATCCTGGCCAACATGGGGAAACCCCGTCTCTACTAAAAATACAAAAAACTAGTCAGACGTGGTGGCGGAAGCCTGTAGTCCCAGCTACTCGGGAGGCTGAGGCAGGAGAATGGCGTGAAGCCGGGAGGTGGAGCTTGCAATGAGCTGAGATCGTGCCACTGCACTCCAGCCTGGGCAACAGAGCAAGACTCCGTCTCAAAAAAACAAAATTGAGTATCATTTGGATCATTTGATGAGAAAATGGTTGCACAATAGCATTTATGACTCTAGGCATTTGAACCCTAGAGTATAGACAAATCCTAAGAGAATGGTTATGGTCAGAATTTATAGTTCACTTCTAAGCCAGGATCAAAGACTTATACCCAAATGCAACCACATGGACAGATCCCATCCCTAATCCAAAGAGCCTACAGAACCAGATATAGAAGAATTATCCCAATTATCTAATTTCGTGATTTCTTATTTCTTTCCTAAATCATTTTAGAGTTTTTAAAGATTTCAGAGGTCTTTAAAGATGCGAGTACAACATTCTTCTCATAAGAATAATGTTTCTTGCTTGGAAGGCAAGGTACTTTTTCTAAACAATGTATTTTGAACCAGTTGCCTATTGAGTTTCATGGACATGAATTTGTGTCTTTGTGACATTGTCCAGATCTGTTATCTGGATTACAGGGCAAATATGGTTCTCCCCATTTTGAGGGTCCTTTTGTGTAGCCTGACATTAAAAGGCTCGGAGGTAGGAAAAAACAGTCCAAAGTTCTCTTTCAGTGGTGACTGAAGTTTTGTTTTGTTTTGTTTTGTTTTTGAGATGGAGTCTCACTCTGTTGCCCAGGCTGGAGTGCAATGGCACGATCTTGGCTTACTGCAGCCTCCACCTCCTGGGTTCAAGCGATTCTTCTGCCTCAGCCTCCCGAATAGCTGGGATTACAAGTGCCTGCCACCATGCCCAGCTAATTTTTGTATTTTTAGTATAGACAGGGTTTCGCCATGTTGGCCAGGCTGGTCTTGAACTCCTGACCTCGTGATCTGCCCGCCGGTTTCCCAAAGTGCTGGGATTACAGGTGTGAGCCACTGCACGCAGGCTGACTGAAGTTTTTTGACACAAACTAAGGTCCAGTTTTTCTCCTCTTTGAATTAAGTTATCTAAAGGTTTCTTTTTCTGACAAGGGGGATGAATGGGCCACAGTGATAGCCACAGGAGATAACGGGAACCGTCCTAAAGGCAAGTATTGAGTTCAGTGAGATAACATCTAATCCAATTTTGCAGTTGGTTTTTGTGTACAAACCCAGTGCTTTAGTGGCCACCCAGGTGATCTTGTCCTATGGGCTTATCAAATAATATGGTAATATTTTAAAAGGTGGTAAACAGTTTTGTCTGAATATATCAAAGGAGGCAATGTGTATCTTATCAGGAGACATCTAACGTCTGGCTGTGCTCCTCATTAAAAGACTGTCTACTAGATTACAGTGATAATGGTCCAAGCCCACATTATTGAGTTACATGTTTCTCCTTGTGACTAAACAATAATCTGTGTGATCTTACTTTATTCTCAAGGAGTATGCATTTCTTCAGTTTAGCAATATGTCTTGTCATGGTTTTAATAACAAATGATAATTGTCATTGGAATTATAAAATATCATTCTTTGCATGGAGATATTTTATTACTATTATTTCTTTTGTATAGGAGGCTGGACTCAGTGGCTCATGCCTGTAATCCCAGGACTTTGGGAGGTGAGGTGGGAGGATGACTTGAGCCTAGGGGTTGGAGACCAGCCTGGGCAATGTGACGAGACCCCATCTCTATAAAAATTACAAAAACATTAGCTGGGCATGGCGGCACATACCTGTAGTCCCAGCTACCCAGGAGGCTGAGGTAGGAGGGAATCACCTGAGCCTGGGAGTCTGAGGCTGCACTGAGCTGTGGTTGTGCCACTGCACTCCAGCCTGGGCAAGAGTGAGATCCTGTCTCAAAAAAGAGAAAAAGAAAAAGAAAACCAGTAGGAAACCAAGGAATGAAGTGCTGGAAAATAAAGACATGGACATCCTTAGACAAAGTTAGCAGTTTACCATATTCCTGATAAAGTGACATTTTATTTTAAACACGGATAGGATAAGAAAGCTCCAGTCTACAAACAAAACATGCCAGAAGATTTTTAGGCAATGATGCCACCTGCACATGGAACCAAAAGGTGAGAAAATTTGTAAGAACGTCAAGGTGCTAAAAGGCGGAAATTAGGTCAGTATGGGACAGAGGGAGCTGTGTCTTGATGTGAGGCGTGAGAGGTGAACAGGGACCATATTATTTGTGGAAAGATACATGGATTTTAATGTAAGTGCCACAAGAAACCCCCAGAAGGAACAATAAAATATGGATTATAAAAATTTCATCTGCATCAGAAACATTTGTTAGAAAGGTTGACAATATTGATGCCCAGGAACTTCCCCTGTATCTGATTCAGAGGGCCTGGATGCTGCTTGAACATCCATTTTTTAACAGGCTCTTCAAAGATTTTTATGCACACCTAAATAAAAACTGTGTCACTAATCACCAACCTTACTATTTTACATAAACACTTGTTAATCTCTGTATTCCTTCTGTTTTTTGAATTTCATAATGGTATTTTAATATTACTGAGCTATTTATTTCTAGTTAGTGTTATTTTCAGTTTTTCTCTTCTCTATAATTTTTTTTCATATAGAATAAGATATTTAAAAAATTTTTCTTTCAGATTTGCAGTTGGAAGATGATACAATTGGCCGTAAAGAAATGCTCCCCTCTGAAAACTGTCCATCTTTTGCCCCACATCAGAAAATTAGTAGACAGAAACCACATGAATGTCAGGAATATGGAAAGACTCTTTGTCAAGACTTAAAGCCCGTTCAACATGAAAGAATACATAGTAGTGAAAAACCCAACAGATGTAAAGAATGTGGGAGGAACTTTAGTAGTGGACATCAACTCACCATACATCAGAGATTGCATGTTGATGAGAAACCCTACAAATGTGAGAAATGTGGGAAGGCCTTTATCAGAGGTTCAGCCTTGGTTAAGCATAGGAGAATTCACACTGGTGAGAAGTCACTCAAATGTAAGCGATGTGAAAAGACTTTTAGCGGTAACTATCAACTTACAGTACATGAGAGTATTCATACTGGGAAGAAACCATATGAGTGCAGGGAATGTGGGAAAGCTTTTCTAGCATATGGAAAGCTTACCCGGCATCAGAGTATTCACACTGGTGAAAAACCCTTTGTGTGTGAGGAGTGTGGGAAGGCCTTCAGTACCTTTTCATACCTGATTCAACATCAGCGAATTCATACTGGTGAAAAACCCTATGAATGCAAAGAATGTGGGAAGGCCTTTAGTACTAGCTCACCCCTTGCTAAGCATCAGAGAATTCATACTGGCGAGAAACCCTATGAATGTAAGGAGTGTGGGAAGGCTTTCACTGTGTATGGACAGCTTACTCGACATCAGAGTATTCATACTGGTGAGAAGCCTTTTGAATGTAAGGAATGTGGAAAGGCCTTTAGACTTAGTTCCTTCCTTCATGCACATCAGCGAATTCAC